GATGGCCCGGCACGCCTCCCTTATCCGGACCATCATCGGCGGTGAGCGCGGGCCGGGGCGGGAGCCGGGCTCCGGGACGCTGGGCGGAGCGGCCGGCCTCTGCTGCTGGGGAGGGAGATCACCACACTTCACAGGTGGTATCACCGAGGCCCCGAGAGACGGGCGTGACTCTCCCAAAGCCCGGTAGCAAGTGCGCGGAGGCTTTGAGACTCGTACTCACTGCCAGTTGACTTGGAAGCTTTTCCCATCAAGCACAACCGACCAGAAAGGTGCTTTTCTCTTAAAAAAAAAAAAAAAAAAATTTTTTTTTTTAAACAAGTCAAGATGTGTTTGTAATACACGAACACTGAAAGACAACAAAAAGGTATACGTAAGAAGTGCCACAAAAAGAAGTCTTCACTCACCTGTCCTTTTGGTCACTTGGTTCCCATTCCCAGAGTCAAGAGCTGTTCCAAATTCCTTGTGTATCATTTCAGAAAAAAAAAAAATGTAAAGACAAGCATATCTGCATATTTATACCCTCCTTTTTCTTCTACTTTTTTTTTTCCACGAAATGGTAACACCATATACATTATTTTAGTTAACACTAAAGGCTCTATATCTGTACGTGTAAAACTGCATCATTCTTTTTAAGATCTCATAAAATTACGTTGTGCACTTGTACCAACGTTTTCTTAACTTATCTTTTAATGATGGACATTTATGTTGTTTCTAGTTCTTGCTAATGATGCATTAGTGTTTTCTAGAATGGAAGTCTTTGGTGGGTGTGCTAGTGTATCTATAGGATAAGCTTCTAGAACTGAACTGGTTGGGGCAAAGGTCATCTGTTTTCAGTCCTGATGGATACTGCCAAAATGCCCTCCCCAAATGTACCATTAATTTATTTTTAATTATAGAGGCAGGACACGAATATGCTCTATTTGTGAAGAAATAGAACACTGCAAATCAGGCAAATGTCCCCTAATTACCCATCCTGTCTCCGGAGGAAGCCTTTATCCTTTGTGAATTACTTTTCCAGATCCATTTTACAACATAAGTCCATGGACAGGGCTTTAAAACTTGTTTTGATACAGTAATACAAGCAAATGGCACAAAAGGGCATGTAGCTAAGTCTCCTCACTGCTGACCCAAGCACCTGGTTACCTTCCCTGTTTTCCATTTCCTTGTGTTTTTTTCTAGCGGTAGTCTTTACGCCTACAAGCACATATGAGAATACATGAGGCAGATAATTTTATTGGCTTAATTGGTCCCTGGGCATGCCAATTCCCAGCTATAGTGATGAACGTGTTAACTACTTTCATCTTTGTACCTCTTAACTGTTCCATGCTGCAGGCAGTCTAAAATAATTTCTCCATTTTACAGTAGAGGAAATAGAGGCTCAAAGAGAAGGGACCTCCCCAAGATAACACTGCCTAAAGTCTTCTACTCAAGCCATATTTCAGTCGTCGGATGAATATTAAGGGGCCCATGATCTTCTCTGTCCTTTTCCTCTCATAATTGGATTCTGTTTGGTTATATCCAAATACATTTTAAGACATGTACTCTGAGCCAGTCTAGGCTGGAGGTAGAAGAGACAGGTTAAGAAAAAAACGAGAAGGCAAATTCTTAGTCTTTTTGTAGTAAATAGTATAAGCAAGTGGCGAAGGACATACTTTTGGAGTCAGAACTGGACTTGAGTCCTGGCTCTCTCCCTTACTGTGTGACCTTTGAATCTAATTCTGGACCTTCCACATGCTGGCAGCTCTTTATTGGCATTGCTTTTCTGACACGTTTGCCACTTCCCCGGCAAGCCTACAAAGAGTGTGGTGGTTACCAGACGAAGAAATTGGGACTTAGGAGGGCTGTTAGTAAGTGGCACAGCTTGGATCTGCTTCACTGCAAAACTAGAGCCCTTTCCTATGCTTCCCTAGGCCATTTTATTCTGTCCCCCCTGCACCCCTTCTAACATATATATTTATAGAGAAACTCTTCATAAGACAAAAAGGTTTCAGGGACCACCCTGATCCTATGTAACCAATGCCTCCAAGAATTTAGCAAGTCCTTGGTCTAGACTATAAAATTGTAGAAGAAGAGGAATTTTTCTCTTTTTGTATGTACACTGGATCTTTTCACTTTTCTCTCACCTTCTGAATGAGGAGACTTTCTTTTTCTTCCTACAGGCATTAAAATGTGACCTGAGCACATTGAAATGGTGAGAACCATTGCTGCTACTATTCTTCCTTAAATAGGTCAGATCCCCACCCTCCTTTTCAGGGAAATGAGAAAACTAGATTTTTTTTCTTTTGAGGGGAAGAGTACTCGCATTTGAGTTCCTGCCCTGGCCCAGGAATTCTATGCAACAACCACGAGTGGTGAGAGTGTGATGAGAGTGTTAGCCCTATTTTTCAGATGAGGAAACTGAAGCTTGGAAAGTAAATACCCTGGGCTGGTGTTGGAACCAAACTCTGTGGCCCTTAACCTGCATCTTTTCAATACTTTGACAAGATCTGTAACACCCACGGACATCTTTGCCTTCTTGAAATGGCTCCAGAGGCCAAATCCTGGCTTATGGCAGCTGAACTCCTACAATTCTGGACCTTGTTCTTCTCTTGACCACTTGCATGCACTCCTTTCTTTAATTCATTGTCCATGTAGACAGTGTACTCCTTTTGTAGATGTTCATCAGTTTTAAGATGTTCCAGTGGCTTCTCATTGTGCTTAGAGTCAAGTCTGGCCTCCCCTTTATGGCCCATAGGAAGAGAGACCTTCTTTATGGTCTGCCCTCTGCCTTTCTCTGAGCCTTATTCCTTGCTCCTGACCTTCAGCTACATTGGCCTCATTTCTACTTATTGAATAGGCCAGTGTTTGCACCTGTTGTTCCCTGTGATACATTTGGCTCTTCATTATTTAAGTTGCAGTTTGAATGTCACCTACTCAGAGAGGCCTCCTCTGATTTACCTTTTTCCCCAACTTTTTCCCCCTCATACTTTCTTGTGTCCTTGTTTTATTTCCTCATAGCCCTTTTCACTATCTGATACTCATTATGTGTTTACTTATTGACTGTCTCTGTCCTCCATGAGAGCAGAACAGGCACCATGTCTGTCTTGTTCACCAGCGTATTCTCAATTCTTGGGCACTTGTTAAGTTCTGAATGAATGAAGCTGTGTACCAGCTCCTGGGATAGCTGGTTATAGTGAACAGAGAACCTTTGTCATGTGTTAGGGAACAGAAAGCAATCAGCAAGGGACCTGCCCTGTAGTAGGTACATAATGCATGTTGATTCTTTTCCCTTCCTCTAGGAGCTGACAGCAGAGCTGAGGAGAGGGTACTGTCCCATGCGCAGAGTGACCTATTGGAACTCTTTGCATATAGGACAAAAGCAGAAATAACTTACTTTGCTGAGTGGTGGGGTATGGACTGTAACAGGGAAAGAAGATATCTGGGCCAGGCTCTGAGGCTTAAACCTGTTGTCTTTTCTTTTTAGAATCGGAGATAACTGCCAGCATTTAGGTGAGGCTGGAAATCAGCATGATACGTAGGGAGAAGTGCTGAAGATTAAGGTAGAAGGATTGGTGGGCCAGGTCTTATAAGTGGTAAGTGTTGGGCTTAGACTAGGCCCTTACTGTAGATTTCTCCTAAGGGCCCTGGGAGGCTTTTAAAGCAGATGTGTGACATCATCAGGCCTAAGCAAGATTGGTGGGTAGGGACTACTACTGAAAGCAGGAACTGTACCTGTATCTAGGATTGCTGGAAGATTGGGCTCTTGTTAGAGTTCTTGGCCTTCTACTATCCCCAGTAGAAGGAAATCACAACTTTTGTCTGAGTTCCATGATGTTATCTCTGAAGTTTAATATATCTTAAAGCCATCTCCCTTTAATTCCATTGCTCCCCTCAAAATACTCTAAAGGACAAAAATAATCCTTTCTTAACTTAGAGGAAATTTGGTTTTATCTCCTTGATCCACGTGGCCATAGGTAAAACTCCTAAGTGATACTGTGGGGTTAATAGTAACAATAGTACTTAGCATTTTTTAGTGCTATCCTTATGGTGTGTTTTATTTTTTCCTTTTTTCTTTTAACTCTCACAGCAATCCTATGAGGTAAGAGGTGATATTTCCATTTTACAGATGAAAAAGCAGAGGCTCAGAGAGGTCAGGAAACACAATTCATAAGTGTCTGAGCTTGGTTTGAACGTTCATCTGACCACACAGCTCATACTTGGGCATTCTCAATATGAATGAAAAGTATACCTATCATCTCCAGTCCCCTGTAGTGGTGTTTCAGGGCAATATTTTTCTCTAATCCATTTTTGAGTATAAACCTTTCAGGGTTAGAACTTCAAAAAGATTCAGTAATGTATGTTTTAAAGTCTTGGGTGGGAGTGAGGGACTTGGACCCATCCTCAATCTAACTCTGGCAGGAAAGAGGAGAGCTGAAAAATGCTGGTCTCATGGCTTGGCAATTTATAGTCCTTTGGTGGCTGCTAGGATTAACAGTGTATTGTCTCCTGGTCTTTTGTTCTGGTTGTTAATGAACAGCAGCTCTTCTGCCACGACTTGTTGCCCTGATCTCTTGCCTCCTATGCCTACCATTTAGGTGGTGCTTTCTGCGGGGCTTGGACCCTCTCAGGCCCTCCCTGGCCACAGTGGATAACTGCTGCCAAAGCCTTGTAAGTCTGACTGCAGGTTACTCTCTTTGGAGGGGAAACAGTCAGTAGTCCCAGGGATTTTTGTCACTGCTGCCTGGGAGAGAACATTCTTTGTAAAACAAGCTACTTTGCCTTCTTTGTTTTTCCAGCTTTCTGTGCTCTTTGTGCCAATGTGGAGAAAACGCTTGCCCCTTTGTCCTGTTTAATCAAGGAATGTGCATGCTTTTCTGCGGGGTGTTCGTGTGTGAGTGTGTGTTTTCAACCAGATTTTTTACATTAACTTTTGAGTAACAGCACATAATGCCCAGAAAGCAGCATGGTACAAGCAGAGATAACAAACTGGGGGCTTGACCACATGATTAATTTGGGCATTATTCTAATGAAAAAGCAACCAACCAGACAGCCAACCGACCAACTAAACAAACAAACAAAAACACTTTTGGTTTTCTTTGTCCTTAGTCTTTTTATGAATCTGCGTAGAAATACTTTACGTTACATTATGGTATTCATTTATGTTTGTCTTAAAATATTGAGGCATATTTAAAGGAGTTGATATAAGTGAAAGTGCTTCCTTGATCTTAACTTCTATAGTCTCTAGACTCTGTCAGGCTTTAGTTCCCTGTACCTTTGTGCTCATGCAGGAAAAGCTGCCTTTTATTTTCTCCTCTTTGTTGAAAGGTGCGTACCATAATTGAAGATCCTCCTCTCCAGTGCCACCTCTGCAGTGTTCTCTATTGTCAGGTGAAACTGAGGCAAATACTGGTGTCTCTTGTGTTAACTTGTTTAAAACCTCCGTATGTCCAGTAGGAAGTCAGCCTCACTAAGTGCCAAGTGTGCCTGTACTCAAATACAACTTTTCTTGTTTTGCCTGCTATGTTGTTCTCTGACCCCAGCTTATCTTCTTCCAAGTTGAAATGCCTTTAGCCATCTCTAGGAGACTTTTAAGTTCATTTGTGTCTGCAGCACTTTCTCTTAGAGTTGGACAGCGGGTGACTTTGCTTTGGTTTGGGTGACAGTATGGGAATAGCGCAACATCGGAGATGCACCCTTGAGTTTAAATTAATGCAGAATATTTGAGCAGGAACCAACAGGAAAGAAAAATGGAAGCAGGTAGTCATATTTCATTCTGTTGGGGTACATTTTTCTTCTCATGGGGCTTGCCCTTGAGAACAAAACATATCAAATGTTAAATCAAAGAATATTTTTGTAGTCATGCTAGGAATAAAAAATAATGCAAAGACTTTGCCTTCTTGAGGCAAATATTTTGCTGGAAGGTTATAATCAAAGTCAGAAGGAAATCATAGCCACAACTTTTGGTAAAGCTGTAATCATTTAAAATTAATTGTTTTTAAATTTTTCACTTAGCATCTCTTTTGTTTTCTCTCAGCATGTCTCTTGCTTTTTTCTTCAAAGTCACCCTATCCAGGTTGGAATAAGATTTGGGCAGACATCCCAGGAAGCAACCCGTAAGTTAAGCCCTGGGACATATTTCCTGCTCTACTCTGTCATTCTTTGTTGGCTGGAGCCTTGGCCAGGCTGGCTTCTACCTGTTGTTTCCATTAGCCTCACAAGACAAAGACGTCTGAATTATTCTGTGTGGAACTGACACATAGTAGATATTCAATAATGTTTTTAAACATTTTTATTGAAATATAATTCATATACCATAAATTCACCTATTTCAATTGTACACTTCAGTGGTTTTCAGTATGTTCACAAAGCTGTATAGCCATTGCACAGTCTATGTTGAGAATAGTTTCATCACTACAAAAAGAAACCCCATACCCATTAGCAATCACTCTCCATGCTTCTCCTGGGCCTAAGCAACCACTAATCTAAATGTTTCCGTAGGTTTTTATTTTCTGGACATTTTATATAAATGGAATCATACAATATTTGGCTTTTTGTGTCAGGCTTCTTTAACTTAGTGTGATGCTTTCCAAGTTCATGTAGCAATAACTATACTTCATTCCTTTTTTTGAAAATCTATTATTTATTTTTAATTGTAGTAAAGTCCATATTACATAAAATATACTGTCTTAACCATTTTTAAGTTTACAGTTCAGTGGCATCCATCTCCAGAACTCTTTTCATCTTACAAAACTGAAACTATACCCATTAAACAGTAACTTCCCATTCCCCGTCTCCCCAGCTGTACTTCATTCCTTTTCAGGGCTGAATAGTTTTCCATCGTATGGATAAACCACTTTTTTGCTTTTTAATCCATTCCTTAGTTGAAGGACATTTGGATTGTTTCCACTTTTTGGCTATTATGAATAATCCTGCTATGAACATTGATGTACAAGTCTTTGTGTGGACATATGTTTTCATTCTCTTGAGTATCTATCTACCTAGGAGTGGAATTGCTGGCTCATAGGGTAACTCTATTTCTACTTTTTGAGGCACTGCCAGACTGTTTTCCACAGCAGCTGTACCATTTTACTTTCCAGCCTGCAATGTATGGGGATTCTAATTTGTCCACATCTTCACCAATACTTATTATTGGTCTGTCTTGGATTATAGCCATTGTAATGGATGTGAGATGGTATCTCATTGAATTTCCTTGATGGCTAGTGATGTTGAACATGTTTTCATGTGCTTGTTAGCCATTTGTGTATCTTCTTTGGAGAACTATCTGTTCAGATCCTTTGCCAATTTTTAAAATTGGATTATTTGACTTTTTATTAATGAGTTGTACGAGTTCTTTATGTATTCTGAATGCCAGTCCCTTGTTTGATATATGATTTGCAAATATTTTCTTCCATTCTATTGGTTGTCTTTACTTAATAATATTTGAGTTAAACAAATAATTGAGTTGAATTAAATAAGTGACTATATGTTGAGAGGATTAAATGTGCCCAACACATTATCTGGGCTGTGGTAGATGTATAGCAAGTGCTATTTGTTTGTTTCTGGAAGGCTTGTTAGGGTACCTTCTGTCCTCTTCCTGTATCTGCCTATTTCTATCCTTAGTGCATGGCAGGAGACGGGTCATCCTGACTGTTCATCCCTTAGTAGGGGTCTCATCCCACATTAAGGTCTTGTCCAAGGTCTGGCCTGCAGATATGTTTTGATGGCTCATATAACCATTTAAAAAATTTGAAAACTCATTGCCAGCATTTAAAAATCAGGAGATCTCATATAACAACCCAGAACCCTGGCTTGTCTGGAAATACAAGAAGACTCTCATGTCCATGGAGCGATACTCCAGCATGGCGGTACTTGGCCTGAGGCAGAGAAGGGGCATGTGCTCTTTGGAGTGTCTTTTTTTCTGTTTTGTGCCTGGGCCCTGGAGACATTTGGGCTTGTATTTATTCAGGGATTCTGCAAACATATACACTTGTTTTGGACATGAAGGCAGGTGCAGACATACCTGTCTTCAAGAAGCTCCCAGTCCCAAGGCTGAGGGAGAGCAGGGGCAGTGCTAACAGCCAGTTAAGATAAGATGCAGAGTTGTAAGGAGCACAAGATAACTGTGCCTCGGTCCATGGGTGGGGACCCTGAAATGGGCCTGGAAGGGTGATCTGGAGGTTTTCTGGTAGAGAAAAGAAAGGGTATAACCGATCCAGGGCACAGCCTGAGTGGTCAGTGGTGTGAGAGCATACCTAGCCAAAAAAGAGGAGCAGTTAGTAGCTGTCACTTTCAAGCGTGGGGGAAGTGGGAGGAGGTAAGGCCTGGGTATCAAGGTTATGGATGAGTCAGGAAGAAGGGCTGTCTTGTGGTTACTTTGAAGGAAGGTTGAGATTTTGCCAGTGGAAAAGATGAGAGACTTTCCAGCTAGAGGACTTGGAGTAGACAAAGATAGAAGAAGGATAGGCTGGAGTGTGAAGAGAGGAGCAAGCAAGATGTGAGGCTGAACTGCAGAGGCAGATGGGCCCCAGAGCCCAGGGGCTTGGAGAGCCTCTTGTGTGTGTGCAGTGGGAGAGGTTGAGTAGATTTTAAGCTG